CAATTAAAAGCCTTTCTTGGGGAAAATGACAGTGTTACTGCAGTAAAGGCAGCATGATAAATGCAGGGTCTGGTTTTTATGTGGGCTGTGCTGTCTGGGCTGTGTTTGACTTTACCTTTTTTCTCTTATGTTTTATTTACAGATCAGGATCTTCAAATTGGCAAAGTATTGGCCAGCCTTAAATACTCTTATGAAAATTATGCTAAATTCATCTAGTGCTGTGACTAACCTCACTCTGGTTTTGGCTTTCACTGTAGTTATTTTTGCTGTACTAGGAATGCATCTTCTGGGCAGTGATTATGAAGAAAACTTTCATAAAATAAGCACCAATGGGGAGTTACGCTGGCATATGAAGGATTTGTATCATTCATTCCTAATTATATTCCGAATATTATGTGGAGAATGGATTGAAATGATGTGGGAATGTATGGAAGTGGCTGGAAAAGAGAAATGTATTACCATTTTCTTGCCAGTCCTGGTGATAGGAAACCTGGTGGTGAGTTTTAAGCTGATTCCCAGTCCCTACTGAATGCACTCAGTTACACTGGCAACTGATTTTTTCAGAGGGAAACTTTATCATTTCAAGAGTATTCACACTATTCTCTTTTCTGGATGTCACTTGGCATGTTTTTCTTCTATCTTTCTTTTTTTTTTCACTTTTCCCCTCTCTTTCTCTTTCTCACGTAACATGTAGAGGCAATACAAAATTATTCCCTCTACCCACAGTATAGAAGTGCAGTGCTTCTGATAATGTGGTATCTGATCTCTTCATCTTTTGTGTTGATAGGATCCAATAACCAACTGTTCAGTGCTTTTAATGCTTATCAACTTGAATTATCAAGAGTTTACCACACCCAGATTTTCTGGTTTGTGTGACATATAGTAGATGGAATGTAAATGTACTGGAAGACAAAATCTTTTTCATATGCTTGGTTTGTTGGTCTATACCAGACCCTTTTGGATGGTGGTGTTATTAAAATTCATCTTTGCTGTTTTTCAACATATCTATCTCCTCATACATTATGGACATCAGAGCAGGTGAAAATATATTTGATATACCCAAACCCTCACGTCCTTCTGTTTTCTCCTGCCATTCCTTCCAGAAAGGGACCAGATCATACTATAATAATATTGCAATATAATAGTAAATAATTTCATGGCATTGGTTGAGGAAAGCAAGACTGAGGGTTTCTGAAGTGACTTTTCTGTTAGCAGTGGTGTCTCCAACTTACTTTAACTATTTCAAGGTACTCAACTTGTTCATTGCCCTGCTGCTGAGTTTGTTGGATACTCACAGCTCAGGAGGACAAGAGGAACCTGGAGAAAGGACTAAATGTCAGATTGCCCTTGCACAGATTCTCAAGGGCCTGAAGTCTTTGAAAGACAGAATTCTGGATTCTTGTGGTAGAAAAATGAAAGGAAGCCTCAGAAAAACAGAGAAAAAGAAGACTTTGGAAGAAATTTCTGGCAAAAACATAGAGGATAATAATTATGCCATGACAGATGTCAGAAAATACATAGACAACAATTGCTTTGACACAGAGTATTACCATAATGAAGAGCATTCCTCAATATCAAGGAAATATGATCTTTCCAACAGTCACAGTACCTGTGTTCCCACTGAAGCAGCAGAGAGTTACAGTGACAAAAGTGATGATGAGCACACTGTATTCACAGAAACAGAACACAGAAAACAGGTATGAACTATTCACATTTAAAACAAAATATGTAACTTACATCTGTAATTGCCATCTCAAAGACTCCACAGTAAATATTATCCCTTCTGTCATTTCTGCCATTTTACTTTCTTTGTTCTTCTAGTGCAAGGGCTACCAAATAGTCTTCATTTGCCAAAGACATTTTGAATATCCACTTTTTCACCATTCTCTTCATGGATAGCCCTAATTCTGCTTTTGTCTGTTTTGTTTCCAACTATTGCTGTCAAAAAATAAACGAAGTTTGATGAAGACAGACATTCCTTCTTTTTGTCTCCTTTGTCTTACACTTGGATAGTTTCTAACACAGGCCTCTTCAGCTGCTTATATGTTGCTTTGCAGTTGCATGGCATCCAAAGAAAATGGGAAGAAAAGCTGCACCTCAAAAAAGAATTATTTTTTTTTTAATTACCTTTTCACCTCTATGATACTTTGGATTTCCCTTTATATCTTGTGATTTTCTTGCATCGGGCAGGATAAAGCTCAAGTCTTTCTGCATGTGAGTTATACATTTGTACTGTCATGATCGTACATAGGCCTGTTTGAGATATTTCAGGTGTCTATCACACCTGATGTGGAAAATCAACAGTTTTACATTATTTCCTGCAGGGAGACAGATTAGGACATAAAGAACAGCAGCAGAGGTCAGGCAGCTTCAGTCAGATTTTTGGGACTCCTGAAACTATAAATGTTTTCACAGTAACACATGAAAAGCAAGAGCAAAAAGAGGTAATTCTAACTTTTATCAACTTGTGGAATATGCTAGAGATTCAAACTGTCACAGCTGTTCTCTCATTCAGCAATGACAGGACAGATTGGGATTTTTTGAAGAGTAGCAATTATGATGCCTATGGAGGTGGCACATCTCTCTAGAGACAGTAATAGCATGGAGGTTTGTGTCTCATCAATAGCCATGGTTAATGGTGTAACTTAATGTATAATTTTGTACAAAATAAGGAAACAGAAATTAACCAGGAAACACACTTACTGTAAGCATGTCTGATACATGCTACTTGTTTCTCTGGATTATTCTGTTTGCTGTCATTCCTGGATGCAAAAATGTGCTCTCTAGAAGTTGTTCCCTAAACAACCATGCTTTTTCTGGTATAGAAACCCAACTCATTCTACTATTCTAGTAGAGTACAGTTCCATACCAAAAAAAAGGTGGAGAATCATGGCTTGCCTCCGATGACCTAGAAAATTAAATAGAAATTCAGCATCTTTCTGGATTACTACCCCCAAAAGTCAAAGCCCATTAGCATTTTCTGGTTTTAGGCACAGTTGCCAGAATTTTTCTTTGTTATACATTATTGAAATGTGTTTATATTTAAAAATAATATTGAAAACATTGCAGTGCCCATTAATTTAAATAATTGCATTTTTGTATATGATGAAGATTCCCTAGGACCTTAGACTCATGTAGAGCATCATGGCTGTCAACAGAGGAAATTCTCCCTTCTTCTGGTTTCCCATTCTTATCCCTATCCTCCTGCCTTCACTTTCCATGCCATTCAGGGCATTTACACATTATGGCTGATAGATTTCTTTACTCTTTTGTCCTTATATTTGCTTTCCTTATTGTCTTTAGTTTTACAAGTGTGTAGGTTACCTACCAGTAATTACAATTCTTTGAGGTGTGTAGTCCATACATACATTTCTATCCTGCTAGGCCTTCCCATCTTCAAGCCTTTTGAGACATGGTTTGTATCTCTGAAAATGAAAAGAGAATTGAATTGACCTGAAGAAGTCAGACTTTTGTCCAAAGTTGTAGCATAAGAAGGTCTTCTTCTTCCTGCATCTCCTGTTTAGATGACAAGAAGAAACCAAGGAACTTATTAAATTAAAAGCATGGAAACATAGAGTAGGGATTGGCTTTTTCTGTCCTGTTATTTGTAATTTCATTTTGGTAGTTCAGCAACAGTAAGGTAATTTATAGACTGCAGAATTCTTTGGAGAGGGAGGTGGGGGAATGATAAATTTCATTTATTTTTGGCTTGTTAACCTTATTAATGAAAAGCAAATAAATTCTCCTCCTTCTCCCATGCAGAAATGTGGTGCTGCTCACAGCTTTTCTGAAGCCAGCAGTGTGGATGCAGCTGTTGGTCTGGAGATGTTTTTCCAGACTGAAAAATCACACCTACCTAAGGACTGTTTTGGAGAAAGTAGGAATCTTTTCTCTATTGTGTTAACACCAAATGAACCAGTGTTAAAAAATATCCACTTGGAACATGTCCAAATTAGCAGAATCTGTTTTCCTGCTCGTCCCAGTGTTGACATCTGCCTTTGATTACCTGACCATCTCCTTAGACTCCATTGACTCTCATGCTTCAATCCTGCTGCCTTTACAGATTCATGGAGACTGTTTCTGGTGCAAAGCAGTGAACAGGGAGTGTAGTGGTAATGTCTCTGCAGTGGAATAAAGTGAAATAATCAGTAAAAATAATAATTGACTAACCTACTAGTAAGGTACTCACTCTTTTCAAAACAAAAAGAAGAAATAAAGATATATAAAAGTAAAGGTGCTTTTTTGCTTGTGGCCACCAGCCTTTCTGCAGAAGAGCACAAAAGCTTATTTGTTTTTTCCATGTATGTGTTGCTCTATTAAAAGAGATTAATTTTGCATACAAGTTTTTTCTTTTCTTTATATTTAGATCATTTCAACCACAGCATCACCTCATAGGTAAAACAGCACATTCTTTCTCTAGTCTGTAGAAGCTCTCTTTAAGATGCCCTATACTGTTTTGATTCCATGTTTTAGCACTTTCCATGGAACCAATATACTGTTCTTTCTCTTTTCAGATTGTGGTAAATGTGTCCCATGTTGTGTAGTGGATATCACTAAGTTTCCAGGCCGAAGTTGGTGGAACTTCAGGAAAACCTGCTACAGAATTGTTAACCATAGCGGGTTTGAATATTTTATGATTTTTGTGATAGTATTGAGCAGTGCAGCACTGGTAAATTGCATTTAATTTCTCTAATTTTGCATTGATTGTTGTCAGTAAAGGAAAATAATAGTATTTGATTGATTTCTTCTACTCTGACATTCCTTCCAGCAGGGAGAGAAAAAAGTGTAATAAATGCATCCCTTAACAGTGATAAGACTTTCCCCCAGTTAGATAAGATATTTAAATATATGGATTTAACTATATGGAATTGTAGTTTTTCATGGAACATAGTTCTTCCTACACTTGTGCGTTAATTACAAGGCTAAACCAGAGTCTGAAATTACTTAGCACTTTTAAATAAAATAATAGCACCTCTAAATATTTAAARCGTTTTTAAAACATTATGATTAGAATCTAAAAGCAAAGTTGGCTGTAAACTCATAGGTGAGGTAATGTTTTGTTGCTACCCTGATCAGATCCATTTCTACTCAAGAATAAGGGAATTTCTATGATTTGAAAGCATATTCACTCTCGACTGAAAGTAATTTGTTAAAACGAATGTTTTATAATGCAGAAGGAACACAACCAAATAATCTGAAAGGGATCTATGTGGTAAATGTCAGAATTTGCCAAATAAAATCTGCTCTGTGTACGTTAAGTTCAGGTTGTTCACTGAACCATAGATTTAAACTGTCTGCTTTTAAATTCCCATGGCAAAATCACCAAGGGAAATCCCTGGGATTTCTGTAAGGCCTCCTCTCTAGTTATGTGGAACCAAACTGAAGGAAGGAAACTGTATTATTCTTTATTGTACTCTAAGTTCTAAGTTGAACACAAAGCTAATTGGTACCCAGGTGCAAAAATTACACAAAACAACATTTTCTTGTCATCGAAGATGTTTAACAATGAGAACTTTCACATTTCTAAGATACTGTTGTCCTCTTGCAAAAAGGGACTTGTCCATTTTTTGTTTGGTTGGGTTTCTTTGTTTATAAAGTTGTATGCTGGTAGGGAATTTTCTGAACCAGATAGAACAAAGAAGCATAATGGTGTCCTTGCCTTGAAAGAAAATTAGAGAGGTGATCACAGAAAGAATGCACAGAAAAGTCCATGGTGAGTGCTCAGTGCTCAGAGCAAAAGAAGAGTAGTTAGGAATTTAAGTAGATTCTAACTTTTTAAGGTAACAGCAATTAAGAGTAGGTAGACACTTTAAAAAGTTAGAAAAAAAGTAGTTAAAAGTATGAAAAAACATCACTGCTAATGAGCAGGTGGTTTGACTGGTAGATGGAGATCAAGGTAGCCAAGGTTTAGCAGGCAATAAGAGGACACTTTATCAGACTTGCCCAAGAAAAAAGGTCAGAAATGGCAAATAGGTTTATGTACATGAATGCCAGTTGTTCTCATTTACCCACACTCAAATGAACAGTCCCATGGGCACAGGGACAGCTCTGCTCTGGAGGCATTTCTCCTAATTCTGGCACAACTGGGAGACCCCTGAGGTCCAGAAGCAGAATCACTGTTTTCTAACACTGCAAAAAAGGAGTGCATAAGTTTTATTGGATTATACCTAGGAGCATCTCTGCTCCATGTTTTTTCAGTGGTCTATGCTCCTGTTCCACCTTTTCCGTGACTTTTTAGACTGGATTTTTAGGCATGTCTTAAGTGCAGGGGAGCAAATCAGGTCTGCTGTTAATACCTCAATGAAGTGGGTAGGGGAGAAGTGGAGGCTTGGTGAGGAAATAATGCAAGATGTAAAAGGAATTGGGAGTAGATTGGCAATANGTTTGATTGTTTCTTTGTTTTCTTTGTTTATAAAGTTGTATGCTGGTAGGGAATTGTCTGAACCAGTTAGAACAAAGGTAAATCACGATGTCCTTGCCTTGAAAGGAAATTAAATGAGATGGTGATGACAGAATAAATTCACAGAAATGTGAGTACTCAGTGCTCAGAGCAAAGGAAGAGTAGTTAGGAACTTAAGTAGATTCTAACTTTTAAAGGTAGCAGCAATTAAGAGTAGGTAGACACTTTAAAAAGTTAGAAAAACAGTAGTTAAAAGTATGAAAAAACATCACTGCTAAGGAGCAGGTGGTTTGACTGGTAGATGGAGATCAAGGTAGCCAAGGTTTAGCAGGGAATCAGAGGACATATGATCAGACTTGCTCAAGAAAAAAGGTCAGAAATGGCAAATAGGTTTATGTACATGAATGCCAGAAGTTCTCATTTACCCACACTCAAATGAACAGTCCCATGGGCACAGGGACAGCTCTGCTCTGGAGGCATTTCTCCTAATTCTGGCACAACTGGAAGACCCGTTTAGGTCCAGAAGCAGAATCACTGTTTTCTAACACTGCAGAACAGGAGTGCAAAGGTTTTATTGGATTATACCTAGGAGCATCTCTGCTCCTTGTTTTTTCAGTGGTCTATGCTCCTGCTCCACCTTTTCCATGGCCTTTTAGACTGGATTTTTAGGCATGTCTTAAGTGCAGGGGAGCAAATCAGGTCTGCTGTAATACCTAAATGAAGTGGAGATGGGGCTATAAGGTAGGGGAGAAGTGCTTGAAAGGAGGAATAAATACATTTCCAGAGGCTTGGTGAGGAAATAATGCAAGATGTAAAAGGAATTGGGAATAGATTGGCAATATCAAAAACTTAAAATTACTTAGCAAGGCAGAAAATGCATTAAACACAAGCAAACACTGATGTGAACAGCAGCAATCAATAAAGCATTTTCCTCAAACCATGACACAAGGTTTAGGTGAAAAAACTTGTAACTCCAGGAATGAACAGTTCCAGATAAGGAGTTTGTCATTCTTTTCCATGTGTGTATTACAGCTCTGCAGGCTGACTAAAGATGATTCATTTGGAAGGTCAGAGTCTGAAAGACAGTGATTAATGTGTTCAAGTCAGGCTTTAGTTTTTTACTTCTAAGTATAAAACTAAGTGGTGGTTGTCCATAATTTAGTATGAAATGGTTGTAATCAGACAAACTGTGTATTCTTGTGCAATTTAAGAATAATTTTCCACGCAACTACTGACCTGTTTTAAATCTGAATTCTGAAATTCCAGGCATTTGAAGATATTCACCTGCAAAATAGACCAACAGTGAAAATGATCCTAGATTGTGCTGATAAAATATTTACCTTCATCTTTTTGATGGAGATGCTTCTGAAATGGGTAGCTTATGGATTGCACAGTTACTTCACAAATTCCTGGTGTTTGCTTGACTTTGTCATTGTATGTGTAAGTATTATATTCAGCTTGTCATACATTTTGATTTTTGACATTTTCTACCTGGATGGATCTGGACATGCAAATTCTGATTATGAGTGAAAGGCAGTTTCCAAAAGCTGAAAAACCTGCAATCCAAAGAGACCTTAGAACAAATTTAAATGGAAATTTTCAGCAGTAATCAGAAGTTGCTGAAGAAACTTTTATTAGATATCACCTCTTATGGCTATTTGTAAAGAACATGTAGCATAACTTCAGCAATTACAGTTTTCTAATCTTAATAGCAGTGCTGTCCAAATCAGAGGAAAGGCATGAAAAGATCCAATGGCTGGGCAATGACACAAGAATTTCTACTAGGAGAGAAGAGACAAATCATGAACAGTCAAAAAAACCCCTAATTATTGAAATTTTTTTCTAATACTTTCATTTAATTTTTACTCTTAGAATAATTTAAAATATCGGATGTGTTTTTAAAAAATAATTTTTGTCTCCACATCACTATCTTAAGTGATAATAAAGAATTATTGTTTACTCCTCTGAGAATAATGATGGAGCAAATGGGAATATTTTATTTGAAAAATCCTTTCTGGTCTGGCAGTGTATATAAGTACCATAATTATCAACTTGGTTATTATATTAGCAGTCAAAAAAATTATGTGAACTGGTTTTGAAAAAAAACCAAAACCCATACAGGAAAAAAATGCATTTTAAATCAGAATGAAGGAAACGTAATTTTTTTCATATATTAGAAGAGAATGAAGTAAAATTATATTACAATAACTTTGAATGTGTATTTTCTTAATTTGACTTACTGGTCAAAGATCTTGTAATGCTCAGATACTAACTGTTTGGTAACATAAACAAGGGAAATTTTGTTTACCGTTTAATAATCCCGGTTCCAATTCTATGAACACAGCTGTCAATTGTTTCCTGGGCACTAAATCCTGACCCCAAAGTTGTATCACCTTGTTCCTCTGGAAGTGGCCTGAAATCTCTCAGGACTCTTAGAGCATTGAGGCCTCTACGAGCTTTGTCAAGATTTGAAGGGATAAAGGTAAAGATATTGGGGGTCGGTGTGAATATTTTGTAATGGCTGCATTTGAAGATGTTTTTGAAAATGACAACATAAAATTCACTATTATTTTCATTCATTTTGTTCAGGTTGTTGTCAATGCACTCCTTGGAGCTATCCCCTCAGTCTTCAGCGTTTTGCTTGTCTGTGTTGTCGTTTGGCTCCTATTTAACATTCTAGGAGTAAAATTGTTTGGGAAAAAATTTTCAAAGTGCATACTCCAGGAAGGAAATATCAGTCTCATTAATGACAAAAGTGATTGTGAGTCCTATGGTGGAAAATGGACAAATTCTCCTGTAAATTTTGATAATGTTGGGATGGGATACTTGGCTCTGCTCCAAGTGGTGAGTTCTATAAAAACATTCTCAGTTTTTTTTCTTCAAGGAAATGGGTTGAGCAGCACAACCATGGGACACTCTATGCTTCTGTTTATCCCACTGAAATTGGGGATATTTTTTAGCTTCCATATATATTTCCCTATAATAATGCATTTTTTTTCAGGCAACTTTTAAAGGCTGGATGGATATTATGTATGCAGCAGTGGATTCACGTGAGGTATGTCACTAAAATGACAATTTAGTTCTTTTCCCTTTTCTTCTTCCCTTTTCCATCCATGTAATTACTTTTCATCTTTGTTTGCAATATCAAGTCAAAAATACAAGTGGTTGAAGGCATCAAACTACACAGTGAAACAATAATCCTTGGAGTACCAAAAATCTGGAACTTAGACAAAAGAAACTGGTCAAAGTAGAGTGACACCACACAGAAGCCTGCTATGTCAGGAATGCAGAGGGGAAGATGTTGCAAACTTTGTGCAAGTCTCTTTTGGGAACAGAATACAGAAGCTCTTGGAGGGACTGTGCAAATTTTCTTCCTTTTTAGACATGTACAGGAGCATTGAAACAGCATGCAGCTAGAGCAGTTATTTCAGGAGTTTTTCTTCCCTAGATTTGACACCCTCACTATTTCTTCCCCCTTTGCATGTGCTGTTCCTCACTCTCTTACCAGGACAGTGTGTTTTAACTTCTCTATGTTTAACTGAATTTACCTTTTTCTCACTCCTTCAGTCTCTGTGCTCTTGACTGCAGTGAAATAGTTGCTGATTAACGTGATTGTTCCTTGTAGGGCTGATCTTAGTGAGCTGGGGCTTTAGAATTGCCTCTTGTCTGGGACAGCATTCCAGAGGATGGCTGGTCACCATTGTGTTTAGTCTGAGCTGTTGTTTTTAATCAGGGTATTCACAGGATCCCTTCTGATTGGAACTGGTTCTTTATTACTTAAAAATTTGCTAAAGCTGGATTTGTCTCTATAGCCCTGTTTGTCACTATCTTTACAATCAGTAGCAAGATAGAACAAGAGAGTGGTTCTACCTGTACATCCAGGTAAAGATGTAAATGCCTGGAAATAATTTATCTCTCATGACAATAAAAAGATCTCTTGTTATAAATTGGAAATGGTAAAGCTGTGATTATCTCATTTTTACTAATATTTTTCTGGTTTGATTTTTTTTAACAGATCGATGAACAGCCAAAGTTTGAAGCAAACTTATATATGTACATATACTTTGTGGTTTTTATTATTTTTGGATCTTTCTTCCTGTTGAACTTTTTTATTGGAGTGGTTATCAACAATATTAACCAACAAAGGAAAAAGATAAGTACTAGTTGAACTAACTCAGGGTCTCCTTTAATCCCAATTTGATTAAGTGAATGCTAGTTTGATGTGTAGATGTCTAATATTTTCAAATAACTGTTTAACTGGATGAATTTAAAGTAATAACATTTTAAACGGGAGTCCTCTTTTCCTCAAGGTTTTTAGCAATTTACCTGTAAACTCTCTTTTCCTTCCAAGTCCTTAATTTGTTCCAAGTAGAGGAGGAGGAGGAAGCAGGGCGTAGCTTCAGAAATGAGAAGGCAAAAACGAGTTCTGTTCTGATTCATTTAGATCTTAAAGTATCCAGAATATAAAGAAAAACTGACTAAATTATTCCACTTGGACAACTTAAAACAAATAAACCTCTTGCTCATTCAAAAAAAGTAGACCCCAACAAGAGGTTTACAATTTCAAGATTCACATTTGGAAGACAGAATCTCTACAGGAACCCTTTTTTATTTCCATAGCCCAACTCATACACCAAGTGTCAGAGCATTGCTGCTCTGGGTAGAGAGAGAGAGCAATAAAGCCCACAAGAAATTCTTCTACTCTCTGCATTTGAACAGAGAAAGGATATTTGGGGGTTGAGGAACAACAGTCCAACTTCACTCTAAGAATTTCCTTTACTAACAAAGTCNGGAGCTATCCCCTCAATCTTCAATGTTTTGCTCGTCTGTGTTGTCTTTTGGCTCCTATTTAACATTTTAGGAGTAAAATGGCTTGGGAAAAGATTTTCAAAATGCATACTCCAGGAAGGAAATATCAGTCTCATTAATAACAGACGTGATTGTGTGTCTTATGGTGGAAAATGGACAAATTCTCCTGTAAACTTTGATAATGTTGGGATGGGATACTTGGCTCTGCTCCAAGTGGTGAGTTCTATAAAAACATTCTCAGTTTTGTTTTCTTCAAGGAAATGGGTTGAGCAGCCCAACCATGGGAAACCTCTATGCTTCTGTTTATCCCACTGAAATTGGGGATATTTTTTACCTTCCATATATATTTTCTTTGTTGGTGACCTGCTCATTTCCTCCTAAGTAACACCTGAGTATATGCTCAAGAACTCATAAAATCAAGACTTCTGTTTCATGGCTTTTCAATTTTGTTTTAATTTTGATTAACACAGTAAGCCTGACAGAGTCTGCTAGTTACTGAATTAAAAATATTCTCATTTTCTCTAGCTTAGATTGGATGAGAAAGAAAATCAGGGCACAGTTTATTTATATTTTCTTTTGCTGTAGAAGTCATGAAGGGTTGGGATACTAATTTATTGAGCTCCCTAACATGACAACAAAGGAGAGAAAGGCAATTTTTAAATTGGCTGTTATCCCTGTATTGTTTTTGGATGAAGTTCTTTGCCTTGGATCCTCCAAAGTATTCTATGATTCTGCTGAGTTGCTAAAAATTGCAGGAAGGAATTGTTTGCTGTTTTCTCAGAAAATGTTTTTATCCTTTTACATTATATTTGTAAGTTAAACTGAAAATTTTACTGATTATTTTTACAAAACTTTTGAATTTAATGAGAGTTAACATTAACACACATTACACATGAGTCATGCTTTTTTTTTGTTTTCTTTTCAGGAAATATTTTTTTTCCCTTTACTAAACTCCAGTGATACTTCCAAGCAGATCTTTAGAAGTCATCCACATTTTTATAGCACACTGCTAATTTTCTGCAACTATCAACACATTTATATTAGTTATACCTGATTTTTTCTCAGTGATAACAAACTTAATAATGCATTTTTTTTCAGGCAACTTTTAAAGGCTGGATGGATATTATGTATGCAGCAGTGGATTCACGTCAGGTATGTCACTAAAATGACAATTTAGTTCTTTTCCCTTTTCTTCTTCCCTTTTCCATCCATGTAATCAAATCAAAAATACAAGTGGTTGAAGGCATCAAACTACACAGTGAAACCTTGGAGTACCAAAAATCTGGAACTTAGACAAAAGAAACTGGTCAAAGTAGAGTGACACCACAAAAAGCTTGCTATGTCAGGAATGCAGAGGGGAAGATGTTGCAAGCTTTGTGCAAGTCTCTTTTGGGAACAGAATACAGAAGCTCTTAGAGGGACTGTGCAAATTTTCTTCCTTTTTAAACATTGAAACAGCATGCAGCTAGAGCAGTTATTTCAGGAGTTTTTCTTCCCTATGTTTGACACCCTCACTATTTCTTCCCCCTTTGCATGTGCTGTTCCTCACTCTCTTACCAGGACAGTGTGTTTTAACTTCTCTATGTTTAACTGAATTTACCTTTTTCTCACTCCTTCAGTCTCTGTGCTCTTGACTGCAGTGAAATAGTTGCTGATTAACGTGATTGTTCCTTGTAGGGCTGATCTTAGTGAGCTGGGGCTTTAGAATTGCCTCTTGTCTGGGACAGCATTCCAGAGGATGGCTGGTCCCCACTGTGTTTAGTCTGAGCTGTTGTTTTTAATCAGGGTATTCACAGCATCCCTTCTGATTGGAACTGGTTCGTTATGACTTAAAAATTTGCTGAAGCTGGATTTGTCTCTATAGCCCTGTTTGTCACTATCTTTACAATCAGTAGCAAGACAGAACAAGAGAGTGGTTCTACCTGTACATCCAGGTAAAGATGTAAATGCGTGGAAATAATTTATCTCTCATGACAATAAAAAGATCTGTTATTATAAATTGGAAATGGTAAAGCTGTGATTATCTCATTTTTCCAAAATTCTTTTTCTGCTTTGACTTTTTTTAACAGATCGATGAACAGCCAAAGTTTGAAGCAAGCTTACACATGTACATATACTTTGTGGTTTTCATTATTTTTGGATCTTTCTACATGCTGAATCTTTTTATTGGAGTGGTTATCAGCAATTTTAACCAACAAAGGAAAAAGATAAGTACTACTAGAGCTAACTCAATGTCTCCTGTAATCCCAATTTGCTTAAGTGAATGCTGGTTTGACATGTAGATGTCTAGCTGAACAACAATATTCTTTCCCTTTACTTAGGTGGAAAAGATCTATTTTTGACTGAGGAACAGAAAAAGTACTATAATGCCCTAAAAAAACTTGGATCCAAGAAACCTCAAAAACCCATCCCAAGACCATCGGTGAGACCATCTTAAGTAGAACATGGCAGAAGATACAACGATGGTGACCATATTTGAACTCAGTAGCCCAGGCACAGGGAAATAAACTTTGCCTTAGAGCCCATCATCTTCNCCAAACAGATAGAAACAACAGTGGTCAAGTAGTTCATTAGCCTGAACATTTACTGGAAGTTTATGGGGACGTAATCCTTTTTTCTTAGTACATGCTGTGATTGATATTTTTTTTGGTGTGATTTTTTTCGGTGTGATTTTTTTCTGTCATTTTTTCATCTTTCATTTCTTTGCTTATTCTCAGGAAATTTCCATGTGATTCCATATAGTGAAGTCAAATGGAATTTTCAGAGGTCTTTCCAGAGTGACTGAAATTGCAGATACCCTACTGAACATTGTTGCACGTTTGTTGTACAAAATACTGATCACTCATTGCTTTTATGATTGATGAGTGGCTTCTGAATCCTGGGTTCAAAGAGATTGCTAAGTAATACAGGGAGTGTAGATGGGAATAAGAAATTAATTGTCAGGAACCCCCTGTAGAACTGGGTCTCATCATCCTCTATTTACTTGCTTGTCCAGCAATAGATTTCTATTTCTACCTTCCCCAAAATAGAAAGTGTTTCCCTTCTTGATGAATCATATGTAATTTTTAAAATATAAAATAGATTTCTAAAACTTCTCTCACACTTGAGAGAACTGACTTGAGAACACTGCCTAGACTAGACTTCCATGATCAAACCCAGATCAGCTCTTTCCAGGACAAAGATGAAGGGGAAAAGGAAAAATAGTGAAGACACATTTTGTCTCTGTGCTGTCTTAGGTCCCACTCAGGACAGCTGTAACTTACTCTTTTTTACAGAAAGTTGCTGGTATTTAGGGAACTGCATAAACTTCAGCTAAACAATAATATTCTTTCCCTTTACTTAGGTGGAAAAGATTTATTTTTGTCTAAGAAACAGGAAAAGTACTATAATGCCCTAAAAAAACTTGGATCCAAGAAACCTCAAAAACCCATCCCAAGACCATCGGTGAGACCATCTTAAGTAGAACATGGCAGAAGATACAACGATGGTGACCATATTTGAACTCAGTAGCCCAGGCACAGGGAAATAAACTTTGCCTTAGAGCCCATCATCTTCCTCATTCAATGTAGTATTTACATTTTATCTCTTTTGCTTAATTCCATCTAAAAGAGCCTTTGTTTGTGGTCATTAATTAGGAAAATTTATATCCTATTTATGACCTATCCAAATGTATAACCTGTTTATAAAGGTTCATATTAAGTGTTTGATATTCCTACCATGACCTTGGTTACTTAAGTTGCATGACATTGCTTCTGCCACTAGATTGGATTATTGCAGGTGAGAATGAATATCACGAGAATAGTACATGCCCCCATGGCAGTTATTTGCTTTTAGATAATCTTATGCTTTATTTCTTTTAGTTCCTTAAATTTATTTCCAGGCCTGGCTTTTCATAGTAACTATTGAGAGTTTTTCTCGCTTACGACATTTTAATTAGAGTTACTTATAGTAAAATATCTGCTTCAGTAAGGATTTCTATTAAAAGAGCAATACAATGTACAATGTACTCTGGATGTTTTCCTGATGTATATAAATACATATATATATATATAAAAAAATAGGTATATGTATGCCAATGTTCTTGCTTGATGCCTGAATATACTTAGCCAAGAACTGTGAGTTTTCATTGAAGATCTAAAGAAATCACCTCAAAATTCTTCTAGTAGCTTATTGTTAAATTTATATTATTGCAAGTTCTCTTTCTAAGCACAAATAACTGATTAATATTTGAATGCAGGCTGAGTCCTAGAAGTAGCATCAAGCATTTCTTGTTCTCTCCACAGAATGTGTTCCTGGGATTGCTGTTTGATATCGTAATGCACAAAGCATTTGACATCATCATCATGATTTTCATCTGCCTAAATATGTTTGTTATGATGGCAGAAAATAACCAGGAAGGCACCAAGGAACTTCTTAATAAAATCAACTATTTTTTTGTGGCTGTATTTACAGCGGAATGTGTCATAAAAATACTGGCCTTAGGACAGCATTACTTCAAAAGCAGCTGGAACTTATTTGATTTTTTTGTTGTGGTCCTTTCAATAGTCAGTAAGTACCAATCACTAAATCAGGTAATGTGTCTTACCAATACTGAGCCAAATTTCAGTATGAAGTAACCACTTAGATATATTTGATAAACAAATCCAGATCCACTGTACTTTTTCAAACTATATGCTGTCATTCCTTCTAAAAGGATGCATTTTTGTTTTCTCTTATATTTTTACACAGTACTAAGAGGTAAATGGAGTTTTCAGTTTTTATTTTCTTAAAAATTGTGTTTTTTGAGTAATTAACAGAGCAGAATTTAATTAATTAACATCTCCAAATTACTGTACTTTACCTGTTGTCTAACTGGCTTTATGCTTTTGATTTACATGTTAACATGATAACTGTTGTTTTCACAGTAAAAGTAAAATCATGCTAAAAATATAATTGCTTGAAAAATGAGAAAGATGTATTTAATTTTTCCTGGACCTACTTTACAGAGAACAGATCCTGATTGCTGATTTAGAAAGCTCAGGAAAACATAATTTTTCAGCACAATTCTAAATTTGGACCATTATTTGTGACTGTGAAAAATCTGATTAAAACTGACTTGGGTTTTTTTGGCTTTTCAAATAAGATTATATACTCGGTGATACCTTATAAATTCCTTCCTTGTTTTCTTTTATATTTTTTCACAGCACTAAAAGATAAATGGAGTTTTCAATTCTTATTTTTCTTTAAGTAGTGCATTTTATTGAGTAATTTACAGAATAGGAATTTAATTCATTAACATCTTCTCTAAGTTAGTGTATATAAATTGTTGTAAGACTGGTTTTATGCTTTCCATTTCCATATCCTAGTAAGTTATTTTACTTTCACAAAGCAAATTCATGTTAAAAATATATTTGCTTGAAAAATGAGAAAGGTCCTGCTTTAAAGAAGGCAGATCCTGATTGCTGATTTAGAAAGCTCAGGAAAACATAACTACTCAGCACCATTCTAAATCTGGACCACTGTTCATGACTGTGAAAAGTCTCATTAAAACTGATTTGGCTTTTTTGGCTTTTCAAATAAGACTAGATGCTGATCATTACCTCTACAAAGGGTCATAGATAGCTCCAGTTTCTTGTACAGTTTATTTGGTCTGTGCTTCCCGCTCAGGCTCAGGTTATATCACAGAATAAAGGACAGGAAAGAAAAACTGCTCTGAGTTCTCTGTTTTGTGCCTAAGCACAGAAACCCTTTGCTGTCCCGTGCAACCCAGGAAAATGATGACTCCTTAACCCCTCTGTTAGCAACCATTTGCATTCCTGCTGTACCCTTACTCTGTTAGAACGGGAGGTAATGGGGGATAAATGCTACAAGACAGTTTTTCTTTAGAATCCTCTTGGTCTTCTCTGCTCTCCTTCAAGTACCAAGCATTAGTCAAAGCCTCACATTTAGCATGTGATCAGGCCTGTAAAGAAGCAGCAGACAGCAGCTAGGAGGCAATTTCCACAGCTTCCAGCACGGGAACTGAATGGAGCTAAAAGCATTTTTAAGTACTTGAGCAATGAATGTGTAACTTCACCAGCCCTGAATCAGAGGAATCTGGGAGGATGGAGTTTCCAAACTATGCATAATCTTGATATCTTTTTAATATTGAAAGGTATTATGATTTGTCTTTCCTTTCCTAAGCTGCTTTGTAAGCAGTTTCAGTACTGATGATGTTTGTGTGGAAAGTGGTGTAATATGGTCAGTGTTACTTCTGACACCTAAAGCACAGAATATAACAAAGCAGAAATAACTTTGACTAATATGCCTTGACAACACTTTGGTTTTTCTCTTCCTTCAAAGGTATTGGAGTTTCTGAAGCCTTTAAAAAATTCATCTCTCCTACACTTTTGAGAACTATTCGTTTGGTGCGAATTGGCCGAATCCTGAGATTGATTCGAAAAGCGAGAGGAATTCGAACCCTTCTCTTTGCATTACTGATGTCTCTTCCTGCACTGGTCAACGTTGGCCTTTTGCTTTTCCTAATTATGTTCATTTATGCCATTGTGGGCATGGCAAACTTTGCCTGTCTTCCCTGGGAAGGTGGGATTGATAACATTTTCAACTTTCAAACCTTTTCTGGAAGCATTCTCTGTCTCTTCCAAATTACAACATCAGCTGGCTGGGATAGTCTTCTGGCCCCTTTGTTAAGTGAATCTGATACATGTGCTCCAAACTTAGATTTAGAAGAGGAAGATAAAACTAACTGCAGTAATAGAATATTTGGTATTTTTTATTTTGTAAGCTATGTCATTATAAATTTTCTTATTGTTGTAAATATATACATAGCTGTCATTTTAGAGAACTTAAATGTTGCCACCGAAGAAAGCACAGATCCTCTTTGTGAGGAGGACTTTGATATGTTTTATGAGACCTGGGGAAAATTTGATCCTCTGGCAACACAGTTTATTGACTATTCTGCTCTTTCAGACTTTGCAGATGCTCTGGCAGAACCCTTGCGCATTCCAAAGCCCAATAACATCCAGCTTATATCCATGGACTTCCCTATATTTAGTGGAGATAAGATCCATCACTTGGATATCTTGCGTGCTTTCAGTAAACGAGTCTTGGGAGAATGTGGAGATTTAGATAGTCTTGAATTATTCATTGAAGAAAATACTGTGGTTGCCAATCCAATTTCTTCCACTCTTAAAAGAAAACAAGAGGAGGTATCAGCAGTTATTATCCAAAGGGCCTTCAGGAGGTATTTGATACAACGTTCTTTCAAAAATACATCTTTCTTAAGCCATCACAGACAGACCAGTGCTGTCTTTGGAGAAGAAACGTGGGAGAAGCAAAGGCTTATTGTATCAATGCTTAATGAAAGTAGTGGCAGGAAGATACATAAATCACGGCCTCTTTCTTCCACATCTCTCCCTTGACTTTTTGATGCTTTTGCTGACACAAATAAGCTGGACACATAAGGTTACCCCAGGCTGCAGCATTTTTGACATTTAAAGCAAAGTCACTGATTTTCAGATGGAGACAATATGTGAATCCCAGAGCATAATACTCTGAATTTAGAATAATGATGGCGGCCTTCAAGCATTGTGATTGTTCAAATTTTCAAATTCTCCTTAAAATGATTAAGATCTGAACAACTATGTCATAAATACTGGAGAAAAATCAAACCATAGAACTTTTTTCTCTGCTACTGGAGTAGGTGGGTTAATTTTTTCCCATGCCAATTTTGCCCTAGTTCATGTGTTTACGGAAGAAATTCTTAAAAGATCAGTTGTAAGCACATATTTATAAACACCCAAAGCTCTAGAATAATGTAAATCTCTTTAGAGATAACCAATATTTCCAACTAGGTTTTATTGTATTAAAATGAACTAATTACTGCACTTCTGTAATAGAGCTGATTCAGGACACTCGAGTATAATCAGCCTCTGACTTTGATGGTTTTGGGACCATCCTCCTCCTAGCATGTTTGGGTGGATTTGTTTATGCTTAAGAATTTTGGAGGTGTCTTTATATATGCACCTAAGTTTCCCAACCAGGCTTTTTTTGTAGCAAAATTAAATAAGTACTCCACTGCTGTAAGAGAGCTCGCTCAAGACACTCAAGTATAACCAGCCTCTAATTCTGATGTTTTGGGCAATATCCACCTCCTAGCATCTTTGGGTGGTTTCGCTTATGCATAATAATTTTATATGTGTACTTAAATGGATTTACCAGATCATCCTCAGTTGCCTGTGCTTGGAAGTTCTATATAATTTGTTCTTTGTATCATTCAGCATATAAAAATTGTCATAATCATAGCTACCAAGAGATATAACTTGAGAAAATAATAAGAATTACTGTACATAAATTTCATCATAATACTTAATTTGACTGTCATAGAAAGCATTACATAGTAATCTGAAAAGGAGTTCATGGTATATCTTATGAGACAACATTTAATAAAAGTTAGAGGAAGCGTTTATTTGATTGATTCTGAAAAAAAATACATGAATATTGTGTAATAATATTTTAGTGATTCTTTTGCAGTTTAGGTTGTTCAGATGAAGTGTCATGGTGGATTCAGAACTACTAATAAAATGCGACTGGTTTAGATTCTTCAATAAAGAGTTCAGATGCTTAACATGTTTTTGTCTGTTTTGTAAGGATTATCTTCAGTTTCATTTATGACAAGACATAATCTGTTCTTGGAGGGGTAATATAATTTTCCAAAAGAAGCTACCTATTAGCACAAGAAATGAAAATGTTTCACTTTTTACAGGGAACCAGAAAAGATTTATCATTTTGAGACCAAGAATAGCAGGAACAATAAGGTAATTACTCATTTTTTCTGTCATTTCCTGGGTTAAATACTATTAAATATGACAGTCAAATCTAAGTTCTTTTATAGACAAATAAAGGCACAGGAAAGCTAAGAGTTTAAGAGTTCCAATACAGTATGAAGGGACTTTGTTATGATTGAGCCTCAGCTGCCCAGGGAACTGGTGGAATCATCATCCCTGGAAATGTTCCAAAAACAAGTGGATATGGCACTTAGTACTGTGGCTTAGTGGGCATGGTGGTGTTTGATTAAAGGTTGGACTTGATGATCCTAGAGGTTTTTTCCAACCTTAATGATTCTATGATTACTTCCAGAACCAGCTGCAGTCCAGAAAAAAAAGATTGATGAAGAAGGTTTGCAGACCTCTTTGGATAATTCAGGAATTTGCACTTGGGAGCTGCCACACTGGGCAGAGGGATGCAGAGATATTTGGTGGCTCTGCTTGAGACCTGCTCCTGTCCAGCTTGTTTTATGCAGAGTGATGCTTGTGAGGTGAAACTCTTTATTTTGTTCTTTGAGAGCTGGACTGAGCCGACAGCTTTTGTTCAGTGATCAGGTACCATTAGATGGCAGCATTTACTGCGGTTTAAAATGTGGCCAGTCTTCGGTGAAAGGTGACAAACTTGCACACATCAGCAAAAAGGTATTACATTGATTGTAAAAAAAAGTTAGGAAAAAAGTCTCAAAACTCTCTTTTTTTCTGTCCTGGGCTTTCAAGTTAGCCACAGTTCTCAGGAGGTGCTTGTTCACTGACTGTTCTGGCTTTTGATAGACTTTAAGGACTGGAGGAGGAAAAAAATTCTCCTGTGTCCTTGGGCTTTCTGGAAGGGTAGTTTCAAACATATCTTTACATCACTGTAAAAGGAAATGTTTCTTAGACAAGAGGTAAGGATGCTTTGTTCTTGCACGTTGGAAAAGAAGAAAAGATGGGAAAAGTCATATAAGAGACTTTTAAACACTAATGAATCCTTGCAATTCAAAATTCTTTGTTTGAATGCAACACCAGGTTCTCTGCCCTGGATCATAATTAGAATTACTTCAAAGATGAACACTTTCCGTTGTAGAGGCAGCAATTTTGGACAAAATCGTACCTGACCTGAACACATCCTTAGTGATTATTTTACCTCAGCAACACACAAAAGCACCTGAATTCACCACACAGCAAGTTTAGAAGTCTGACCAATTCTTTACTATTGCTTAAGCATTAAAATGACCTTAGCATGCAATTGCAGGGTTGAAAGGAGAACGGTGATATCCAGCTGTTGCAGCTTCTTTGTGCTACAATTGTCCAAAAGGCACTGCTGAGGCAATGTAGAGTTTCTTTAAGAAGTCCTTAAGGTGGTGATGAGGTAAGAGCAGTGAAGAGGTGGTATCTTTTGGCAATTCTGGTATCTGGAAGTGTGAATTCCTCCAGGTTAAACTGCCTGGATATATGTGAACTTCATGAGAAGTGGTCAGGCACGCTTGGAACACAGTGTAAGAATATTCCCTTCTGTTTGTGAAGTTTGACAATTAAATCAGAGAACAGCGGAAACAAAGGAATACTGGATGACTCCAGGTAGGAAACAGTGTGAAAGTAAAGCTCCTAGGGAATTCCTGACGGCCAGCAGCATAATACAAACTAACCTTTCCTCCTTAGTGGTGGTGCAGACCTTCATTTTACATTTCCATCTATCGCTTTTCCTGTGTAGAAATAGTATGAACCTGACCCCTGGTAAGTAAAAGTTTTTTCCTCCTTTTATGTAGCCCTGTATCCCTGAAAAACAGGCTCCATAAAGGGATTGTGAAAACTGTCCTTTTACTCTGTGGAGTTCCTCAGTTACTGCTCACCTTGCAATGTGAAACTATCCAGTGTTTCTTCAGGACTCAAAGAGAGCCCGTATGTAGTTATTTGAAAAGAAATAACCTCTAGTGGAAGGTTCCCTGCCCATGGCAGGGAGATGGGAACTGGAGGATCTTTAAGGCCCTTTTCAACCCAAACCATTCTGTGATTCTATGAAAGGTACCAGAAGGAGAGTCCCATCAGGGCATCTTTTCCCTGGACAAAACAGAATATTGTGCTTGAAAAGTGTGTCATCAGCGCTGTCACTTTCCAAAGCCCTCAGGGAGGTAATCATTCTGTCTCAACATAAGAAATCCCCATAAGTTTCATCTTGCAGGAAGACATCTCAAAATACATTTTTTTCACTCATATTTACAAAGAATGTTTCCATAAGAATAGCATTTCCCCTTATTACCAGTCTCCCTTCAGTCATCTTCTGGTCCCTATTAGGTTATACTGTGGGAAATTTCTCATCACCAGGGACTTGTCCCTGAATATTTGGTGGATTTTCCCTTTCCCAAACCCTTACTCCTGCAGTCCGTATCATTTGCCTTTCCTCTGGAGTAAATATGGTCTCCAGAATGCACTGCATTTCCTCCCAGATGTAGACATTTGGACCTAAAAACTGGTCTAATTGTTCTGACAAACCTAAGGGGTCCTTTAACGTATCACTAATTTCCTTTTCAAATTCTCCAACCTCTACACTTGTTAGGGGTACTTTGACAAATCCTACCTGCCCTGGTGCTCCGTGTATGGACAACTCTCGTAAGGGAAAGATTGATGTGGTTGTGCTAAAACTAGGGATTGTTTCTGAAGAGGGGAGTGAGAAGTTTTGAATGTCCTTTCTTCCTTGTTCTAACTCAGCAGTTCAACTTCTCTTGAATCATCTGACCTGCCACCTCATGGGGACCCGCCATTCCATGAGGACCCGCCACTTCATTTCCTTTCCTTACATTATAATTCCCCCGCTGCTTGTCAGCTCCTTCTTCCAAAGCTGGGGCGTTCAGTTCTCCATTGGGTACATAGGGAGGGGGTAAATGGTCTAAAGGGATCCATTTTTCCCTTTTTCTCTCTTCCCTACTTTCCTTTACATTTTTAACCCAGGCAAGTACCCATTCCAACAGGAGGCATCATCACTTTCTTCTTGGTCAAAAGGCCTCTTAGCATTCACGCACAGACTTAGAGCCTGAAATCCAATCCTCTGATGACCCATATTTCATTCAATTTAACGGATTGAACCATTCAAGTCCACTCAAACATACAATACCATATCATTTTCCATTTGTCTTTCCCCTGGCTACAAGGTATTCCCTCTTGTCCCCAGTCTCTGAGCATCACCCTCAAAGGACTGGAGGGAGGTATGCTCAGAGTGGTATCTTTAGACTCCTGTCCCCTCTTCTAATTCTTTTTACTAGGCCTATTTCCCATATTTTAAACTCCCACAGGACTTCCTTCTCCTGGAACCGTCTCACTTTGTCCCATCACTGGCCGTTTTCCTCGCGGAGAAATGGAAGCTCAGTTAAAAGGGCCCCGCGCTCACTTCACAGGCAGTTCTGTGTCTCAGACACACACAGTCAGTCCTGCTACTCCCAGTTGCCCCAGTAGGACTGAAGGGTCAATGTTCTTCCCTGGGCCCTGTGCACAGATATTATCGGCTGCCGCACATATACCTGTCAGAGACCGGATTCGTATCTCACCAGATTGTTTGATTAATGGGTCAAAAAAAACATGTTTTCTGTTTGAGTAGGGGGGAGGGAAGGGATAGGTTGGACCTCATGGAGGTGGGATGGTGTCATATCCCTCATGACAGGCCCACATGGAGCCCACATAGGGAAGCCCTGGAGTAGCTGTCAGTCACAAATGGCCCGGGAAAACCATAACGCCCAACACCTCCTGGAGCTCATAACCCAGCCTCAGATTGGCGGGGACAGTGGGAACACTGCCTCTCACCCTGGTCTGAACCCCCCAGAGTGGCTGGTGG